AAACTGACAGTTTATAGAATTCAGTAGCGGCGAGTTCAAAGGGGGGCTAAGGGGTTAAACCTTACCCCAACCGGTCGTAAAACTTTGTTTCACGTACAAGGAAATAGCGAATGATTACTTATTATAATATGACTGGTTCGAACACCCCAATAGAATGGTTCGTTTCTAACAGTTTTATAAACATTTTAGTAAGTNTATTGTCTTCCCAGAGAGTTTTGCTTCACATCGAAATTCGTGCTCCTTTATTTTCATTTTGACGCAGTTCAATGTTGATTCTTTTACTTTTATTTGGCTTTGCTTTTTGTTTTCGCTAAATAAAATTTGTATAATTTTTCAAAACAAAAGAAAAAACGTTTGAAATGTAGTGAGCCATACAAATTTTGAATTTATTTACAAGCGATGTGTTTTTACCGGATTTTGCGAATTAAATAAGTTCTCTGCAAGATGGTTTGTTTAAAAAAATACGTGTTCATATATGGTATATGGGGTATGAAAATATCCCTTTCCCTAGCAGCAAACGTTTTAGTGTGGGCAACAATGATATTTTTTAACCGACTTCCAAAAAAGGAGGAGGTTATCAGTTCGTCGGAATATTTTTTTTTTTTTTTTTTTTTTTGTATGTATGTACCGCATAACTTTGGACCACGTCAACCGATTTCGATAATTCTTTTTGCATCGGAAAGGTAGTTCTCAGACGTGGTCCCATACTAATCTGGTTAAGATCCGATCAGCGGATCATGAGATATATATATATATATTTTTTTTTATATGGGAGTTGAAGTCGGTTTTTTTTTTGCTAAAAATTACTAGTTAAATAAGGCAGATCGGAATATGCGCTCTCTGGGAAGACAATACCTGTAATTATTTACCATGCTTTTTGACTAAAAACAGATTTTTGACAATTGCTCAATTGTGAAAAATTCGAAGCGGCGAAGCCCAATTGCAAGTTTTTTTGTGTGGGAGATTTTATATCATAAATTTGGGATTATAAATAAAATAGTTGTATTAATATTTACCTTTTAAAAATAATTAATATCTTATGTTAAAAACGTTTAAGTTTTACATTACATTCGATAACAACTTGCCAAATCGTTATTTTAATATAAATACAATTTAAATGAAAATATTTAAAAATTTTTCAGTGTCCTCATGTCATCTGATTATTTCACAATGTAGTTTTCTATATCGGATGCGATGATTCGGATATAATTCAGACACTGAAATTACACACTTCGATGTGTTATTTAATACATATTGCGTTAAACAGCATTTAACAGCAAATGGAATTTACTTTGGGACCCATGGGCCGTGAAATTTTTCTAGCAACACATATTGTTTTCACATGAAATTTTGACACACCCAGAAGTGAAGTAAATGTTTTGGAGGCTGTTTTAATATATCCTATCTTATTATATATTTCTTAGCTTTTCTACATTCTGAGAAGTTGAGAGAATGAAGTCTAATATTAGTTTTTGGTTAACTACGATGTTTGATTTCATTTTTTGCAATCGGCTTGGGTAAAGTTTAACCACTTAACCCCCATTTGTTTTCGCCGCTACTGAATTCTATAAACTGTCAGCTTTCACACAATTTAAAATGTATATGTGTATTTAAAAATGCCATGAAAATGTTGTGGAATTTCACACTTATTTCACAGAAAGAAATTTTATATGCAATTTGACAGCTTTTTCAAGTGAAACAGGAACAAAATACTATGCTTAAGAACATTCAAGGTTAGTATTCTGTTCACAGTCGTGAAATTTTTCCAGCAACACATATTGTTTTCACAAGAAATTTTGACATATCAAAAAGTAAAGTATAAACAAAATCAAAAAAATAAGTTTCCAACCAAACTGATTTGTGTAGATCAGGGGCGTCTCTTGTAGACGATTTCGGATTTATTATATTTCTTAGGTTTTCAACATTATGTAAAGTTTAAAGAATGAAGTCAAATATGTTGGTTTGGTAAATTACGCTGTTTGATTTTACTGTTAAAAAATGCAATTCAACAATTCTTCTTAGATCTGCATATAATATGTTAGTGTATGGCCGAGCTTCCCTCCGATTCGTGGCGTACGCCTTGATGTTGTCACACAATAGAGGAGTGACCGACAGTTTTACGCTGACTCCGAACGGCGATTGAAATTTTTTGAGAAGCTGTTTTTCATGGAATAAATACACTCGGAGGTTTTGCTACTGCCTGCCGAGGGGCGACCGCTATAAGAAAAACAACTTTTTTGTTTATTTTATTTTTTGATGTTGTTCGGAAGCTGGTCTTGAGCACAGGCCTGCGGAATGGTACCGCGCCCTGCTAACCATAGCGGTCGCTAATTGTTAGTTTTTGAAAATTTTTAAATCTTCTTTGATCATTTGCAAACATATTTGTTGCGTATACCGTTATGTACAAACCAAGGATGCATCGTAACCTTAATTTTAGCGTTTACCAAAAAAGGCAATCGTTTCTGTTGAAACGATTCAGTTTTTTATCGTTTGGGTAATTATCAAAATAATTCTATTTTGGTTTTTAACAGAAAAGAAATTCAATCGTTAATGCTGAAGCGGTAGCATGCATTTAGGTGCTAGGTGTTAACAGTGAGCTGGCAATGGCATACAACAACAACTTTTCGTTAATTTATTTTGTTTCGATGTTAACGGTTGATGATTTATTTCATTTCAACGTTAACGACAGTGATGCCACTCACAAATTTTTTTCCGTACCAAAAAACATACCAAAACGCTTTTGAGAGTGGCAAAAAGATTATTTTGCAGTAATGAAGGACAAATGGTTGTTATTTATTTATTATTTTTCAATACAGAAACAAAAAGTTTTAAACATAAATTAGCACAAATAAATTCACTTCTCTATATTAATTTTTAACAAAATGATTTAAAGAATTAAAGCTTAAAATCAAACTAAAAGGAACTACACTCACGGAAAAAATATTGGCACAGAAAACTTTTTACAATGTACGCAAACTTTTTATTATAATTGTTCCGCTATTTTTTAATAAAAATTTAATTCATACTACAGCAAAAAACATAAAAATATAATTTCTCTGATCAAAACTCAGGAGAATTCAATATATTTTCATGCGAATTTTAATCTTTTTAAGCAGATTATATTTTTTCATGTTTTTTTTTGTTTTAGGATTAATTATATTTTCATGAAAAATTACCAGAAAAAAATTAAAATAAAAAAGTTTGGACACATTGTAGAAAGTTCTTAGTGCTAATAGTTTTTTCCGTGAGTGTCAAAGACTGCATTTTGGTTTCACTTTATGGGCTTATAGTCTCTTGCAGGAGACCATACATAATGCATTTCATTTTTAACTAATTCTTTACATACCATAATATTATGGATAGTCTTAACTTCTAACTTATTTCTAAGACTTGTTTTAATAAGATTAAGGGACGAAAACTTTCTTTCTGCAGCTGCAGAGCTATGCGGCAAAGTTAATAAATTAAAAATAAAGTTGGTCAGTTCCGGGAACATTAGCTCGCCCAATCCATTTTTAAAGCTTCCTACCTTTTGCCAAAAAGAATTAATATCCAAATCGCTTTTCAAATTATGGTCGCTTAACTTAAGCAAAGTCCATTGGCTAATGACTTTATCATTATCATCACTTAAATTTTGAAATTTTAAAATGAGATCAAATATACAGTTATCCCTATCAGACAAAACTTCAAAAGGTGTTATAATTTTTAACAATTCAAGATCTTTTCTATTAAAATCAAACCGCATTTTGACTTGGTCTAATAGCTCAATATAAAATTTTAAAATACTGTCTTTTATTTTATTTATTTGCCCAAGTGTTAGATTAGTTTTCGATAAAAATATTTCGGCTTTTGATCCTATGAAAATATTGTCTTTTTGCATATGATTAGAAACATTTTTGTAATCAATATTGACTTCAGGTGGTGTGCCTTTTTTAATAAAATTGCTTAAAATCAACAAGAAATTAGATTTTATATTACAATATAGATACGGCAAACGGCTTTGTTCTGATTGGAAGTCTTTGTTTAAGTTATTTATTAATGGCAGCACATATGATAAAAATAAAAAATTAACTTTGGTTTCATTGTCCATTTTTTCAGCCAACTGATCAGATCGGAGCGCATTGACCTCTAGTTTTGAACTAATAAAAAATAGCTTTAAACTATCCCATTGTTCAAGGATGCGCAAAATAACTCCTTCTAATGAGAGCCACCTTGTATGGGATATACCTAAAATTTTGTGTTTTTTTACCGCACAATAGTTCTGAAATTCTATAAAATCGTATACTCGTTTAGGGCTGTGCGAGAAAAACCCGTAAATGTTTCGACAAATATTCGAAATATTGTACAGAGGTGGAGTGAGTGGCATGTACATTTTAAGTAAAAAATATCTGTTTCCGCTTCAAATAGAGTTCTTACGCTTTTTAAATGTCCCGCCATTACGCTTGCTCCGTCCGTAGCCAAGCCAATAACATTTTCAATTGGAATCTCATATGCACGGAAAAAATCTTTAATAGCTGCAAACACTGAATTTGCGTCACATTTTGGCAATTCTATTAAAGCAAGGAAGCGATCGCGAACAATTAGATTGGCGACATATCTAACTACTAATACTAAGCACTTTTTTGCGGAAACATCTGTTGTTTCGTCAATAATTAGTGAAAACTTACACGACTTAAGTTCCGAGATTAATTCTTTCATTGTATTAAAACAAATTGTTTCCGTTAATTGCGTAGCTTTAGTTCTTGCAATTTTCAAATGTTTTGCCACTTCTGAGTCAGGACAACATTCAGCCAGCAGCTCAGGCAAGTTGTTCATCAATGTGAAAGGTAAATTTTGCGTTATCAGGAACATTACCAATATGAGCTCAGCGTTTTGTACCATTTTATGTATTTACATCTAAAAAGGAGTCAATTGAAATTTGCTTTCTTTTTCCTTCCATATTTTGAACGTGGGCAGTAACAGTTTCATGCCTTTTCAAATGAGCCAAGTGATTCACTACGCCTTTATTACATGCCTCACAAAATGCTGAACCATCTTTGTTAGACAGCCATGCGAAAGTGGTGAGCCACTCAGCTCTAAACTTTCTTTTGATTTCAGCACTGAAAAATATTACATATACATATGAATGTATGTATGTATGTACATATTTAACACAAATACACAAACACTTACGTCTCTGACATGCCTCCTTAATTTGAGGCTTCTTGATGTGTGTTATTGTAATTTTCCCTTTTCTTTTTAATCACGAATCTGCAAACAAACCACAAATTTAATAAATTTATTCCACTTCAAATTAATTTTGCCTTCTTACTTGTCCATCATCTATTTCCATTAAAACTCGTCTGTCTTTATTCATATATTTATTGCGTAGTTTACAAGAATTGTAAAGATGCACTCTGTTAGTCGATGTTTTCAAGGATGCGTACTATTAGTCGACTTTCGCGTACTGACGATTTAATTATATTGACGCTCTCGTTTAAATTATTGGACTTTTAATTAACGAATGAAAATAATATATAGAAAATATGTGGAAATAAAAAACAAAATATTGTTTTCCCGAACTTTAAGGAAAAAGTACCAAAATCGAAAACAACGTACCAACGTACCAAATCATTTTCAAAGTACCAGTTTTGGTACGAAAGTACCAAAATTGGCATCGCTGGTTAACGATTGAGTTTTGTTTAGTTAATTCAGCTCTGAAACGAAACGAAATTATTTTGATAAGTTATTTTTGCGCATCAACAAAACGAAATCGATTCATATAGTTACTTGAGCATCTCTGGTACAAACATGAGTTGACTTACTAAAATGTTTATAAAACTGTTAGAAACGAACCATTCTATTGGGGTGTTCGAACCAGTCATATTATAATAAGTAATCATTCGCTATTTCCTTGTACGTGAAACAAAGTTTTACGACCGGTTGGGGTAAGGTTTAACCCCTTAGCCCCCCTTTGAACTCGCCGCTACTGAATTCTATAAACTGTCAGTTTTCACAAAATATAAAATGAACACGTGTATTTTAAATTGCCATGAAAACTGTGTTGCTAGCTTCATGTTGCCAACATGTTGAAAGCTTTTCACAGCGTGAACAGAATACTACTTTGCTGAGGAAATATTGGCTGCATTTCTTTATTCATTCTGAGCGTTTGGAATAAA